GTTTTTATGCATTCAAATAATTAGACATATTAAAACACAGAATTTGGGAACAATAAACAAGGTGAAAAAAATAGAACATTTCATAAGACCATAAACATGTAATTTTTGTTAAACTATGTTGAATTGTATATGTTTCATTATTTAATTAGACGTGCTTTTGTTTAATAAAATTTAATTTAACCATTTAAAAAGGAGTCCAGAAAAATTTAAATGGAAAAAAAAACAGAATCCAAAAATATTTACATTTGGAATTTAAAAAAATAAATGGAATTTGGGAAAAAATAAAACGTATTTCATAGGGCCCTAGCATAGTTATTTATTTATTGTGGTGATTTGAAGGTTGTGTCAAAAAGTTGTTGTTCTAGTCTAGTTGATAAATAGCTGTATTCTGTACGTTTTTACTCGTGTACGATCATTTTCTTCCAAATACGATAATTTTGAGCTTCTGGTACGATACTTGGACATTTCCAATCTGACAACACTGAGTGGTGCATGGGTGCAGTCAAGTATTAAATAGGAAAAATATAGAAACTCTTTGGACATTTTTGAGTGAGATGCTAATGGTCTAATCAGATTCAATGATCTATGCTAAGCTAAAGCTAAAAGTGCTACCGCCAGACCCGGAGATCGGCTGAATTGATTCGAAAATGGTAAAACTCAACTGTTTAACTCTAGGGGAGTCAGAAAATTACCTATTTTCAAAAATAGTGGAGTGTTCCTTTAAGGCACTACAGGGAAAAACACTGGTTTGTTTTGTATGTTTTTTTCCATGCGCTGGTCAATTTTGAGATTTTGGGCTATTTGTTTCAGACAAGTGGACAGAAAAAGTCCAAAATACATTATTAAGTGTTTATTTTATGACACTTTATCTATTTGCATCTGTAGATTTCACGTGTCAGTGAGCATTGACATCTGATGCATATACAGAGAGTTTCAATTCAGTAGCACAATTCAATTCAGTTTTATTTTAATTAAGATGCTGATCAAACAGTATACAGCAAAAACTAGGGTTTGGAACAGAGCTGAAGAGTTTAATACTGATATTTCATCAGGAAAATAATTAGTTCAGATTGAATGTTAATTTGTTTCTTCTGTGTCTACCGCAGTGTCAGTTTGAAGAGCCAATTCGATCCAAGGCATCAACAGAAGTTTAGCTGTGATAGAGGTGAGTTACAAACAGTGATTCACTGCATGCTTAAGAGAGACTATATTAATGCAGATCCAAATGATAAAGCTGTATATACAAGTATGTCCAACTTTCTCATACAGTACACTTGCGTAGGTGATATACTGTATACAAGCCACTATATAGCAAATCTCATCTGCTTGATTGCTTTTGCTAAATGAAAAAGCTAAATGCAACTATAAGGCATGAAGATATTAAGACATTCTAAACAGGAACATCACGATTTTCTGTAAAGCTCCTTTGCAACAATGTGTGAAAAGCACTATACAAATACATTTTACTTGACAAGTACCAGCTCCCTTAATGGGATCATTAAATGTGTGCAAACATTAAATATATGCAATTGATAAATTAAATAATTTGTGAATGATACTAATGACGCAACGTTTCCACAGGCATGCTTACATCTCTGCAGAAGCAGTTCATCGATGTCAGATCAGGTTATGAGATGCTCCAACCAGTTAAATCTGCAGGAAACTCATGTCAGGTGTCACTGTTTGGATTCACCTGCTGAAGAACAAACCAGAAAATAACAGATTTCAGATTTTTGTGTGAATAAATGCAGTGAGAAAGAAGAAAAAAGCATAAAACAAGATCTGAGACTGTGGACCAGTTCTTTATTTCCCGTATTGACCATCTGAGAACACGTGTGAGGAACTACGAGGGCATTTTCTTGTTCTGGCGGTTCTGGAAAAACAACATAAACATTCTGTTAAAGCTCGACTTATTGTGCAATTTTGCATGAGGCAATATTTCTTGATGAACTGTAAAAATGTGTTTTGAAATCAGATGCAATGCATATGCAATGTTCAATATTCCAAATCCACACTCTCAGAAAAAAAGGTACAAAAGTTGTCACTGGGGCGGTACCTTTTCAAAAGGCACACCTTTGTACCTAAAGAGTCCATATTGGTACCTTAAAAGTACAAAAGTGTACCTTTTGAAAAGTTACCGCCCCAGTGACAGCTTTTGTACCTTTTTTTCTGAGAGTGGATATAGACCAATAACCAAATATCTGTTCTGTGTTCCTCAAACTTCCTGCTATAACACTGAAA